CACGTGGAGACCATCTACGCCGCTTTCTACCGCTCTGTTCCTTTTGTTAAACTCCGCCGCGAGTGTCTCCGCACTAAAGATGACGGCGCAGTGGCTCTTGATTGGGTCGCCGGAGACGACGGTGAACTTTCTCCCGAGTCTCCCATCCTTATCTTATTGGTACATTCTCGAAACCCGTAATTCAAAAACTCAATCTTGATTATAAAAATTTGAATCTTGACTATAAAACTCAATCTTGATTACAAAAATTGAATCTTTTTTTATTGATCAAAAATTGAATCTTTTTTTATTGATCAAAAATTGACTTTTTATCAATTCTTTCTTTTTAAAAATCATTTTAAAAATGTGCAGCCAGGTTTGACTGGAGGGAGCCAAGACTCGTATGTGAGACATATGTTGTTACGAGCTCGAAGTAAGAAATGGCGTTGTGTTGTGTTTAATAGTAGAGGTTGTGGAGACAGTCCTGTAACTACTCCTCAGGTTTTGTACTTTATTCATGACTAGATTTTGATTATTTGCTGGTTTGTAAAAAAAATTTATCAGAAAAATATACTTTCTTGAATAGTTTATGTATTTGGGTATTGTACATTGTGTTTATAAACTTTAAATTAGTTGTCTTTGGTGAACTAACTTAAATTATATATGTATTTATGTTAGGTATTATGATGAGATATTCTCAGTTAGCTACTGTAGTATTTATGATTAATGATATTTGATTAATGCAGTTCTACTCGGCTTCGTTTTTAGGAGACATTAGTGAAGTGATTGCTCACGTTGGTGCTAGATTCCCAAGCGCTAACTTGTATGCAGCAGGATGGTCTCTTGGAGGCAACATTCTTGTTAACTATCTCGGTCAGGTTTGGTTTAGCTTTTTTTCTTTCTTTTTTTGGTAACCTCCCAATGATTCATGTCAGATTTGGTTATAGTTTTGATTATTGTTATTCTGTTTGCAGGAATCTCATAACTGCACACTCTCTGCTGCCGTTTCGTTGTGTAATCCTTTTGATTTGGTTATAGCTGATGAAGATTTCCACAAGGGTTTTAACAATGTTTATGATAAGGCTTTGTCCAGATCTCTTCGTAGAATCTTTAGCAAGTAGTTGTGTGCTTTCCTTTAATCTATCTTTCTCTTCTTGATGGTTAAGTCATTGTCACATTTTGAGTTTATCTTTTTTTTGTAGACATTCTCTTCTTTTTGAAGATATAGGAGGTGGATTTAACATTCCTATGGCTGCAAATGCTGAGACGGTTAGGGATTTCGATGAAGGCTTAACCCGAGGTTAGTTTCTTCTACATCAAGGTAGAACTTTATTTGCAATCATGTGACAAATTTGTTTTTCTGTGTGACAGTGTCATTTGGTTTCAAGACAGTAGATGAGTACTATTCCAAGTCTAGCAGCTCCAAAGTGATCAAACATGTCCGTACGCCTTTGCTTTGCATTCAGGTGAATCCCTGAACATATGAGTGAGGAACCAATAAGCTAGAGAAACTAGGATATGGCTTCTTTATATGTTCATGTGTTGTGTGATATATGAAATGTAGGCAGCAAATGATCCGATTGCTCCTGAGAGAGGGATCCCTCGAGATGACATTAAGGTAAGAGATGAATGATCAAAAGGCTCTTCATTCACAGAAAATGTGATGTTTTTTTGGGGTATATCTTACAACTTAAAGTTTCAGGCAAACCCTAACTGCATGCTGATAGTAACACCAAGAGGAGGGCATTTGGGGTGGGTGGCGGGTGAAGGAGCTCCAAATGGAGCTCCTTGGACAGACCCGGTGGTTATGGAGTTTTTGCAACATGTAGAGAGTTGTGAAACCATTATTGGGGAGAGATTGTTGGAGGATGTTCACCAAATTCAAGTGTAGTTCTGTTGATTAGTATTTTTCACTTATATATACATCTAAACTATTAAAGGGGAAGTACAAATAGTATATACCCCTTAGTTTTCCACAAAAATTACAACTTTATGCCACTGAAGTTAAAACACAGTAGTTTTGATTAATGTCTAATTATTATTTTGTTAGGCTGCTGTAAGTTTGTTTTTGCCAGCCCATAAAGAAGAATTTCGATGGCCTGTTAAATAATATAAATATAGACAAATGCATAGTTTATACGTATTACATGTATACTTATAGATATTAGTATTCAAATAAAATAAAAATCAAGTTTAAAAACATGATAAAGTTTTAAAATCTATTTTCTTTATTTTTAGATTTCATATAAAAATATATAATAGATAATTTAAATCATTTTTGTAATAATTTGGAGTTACAGCATACAATTCAATATACAATAACATTAAAATTAATAAGTGTTTAAATATAATGTAAATTTTAAATTTAAAAAAAAAGTCAGATTGACTTATATATTGGTTACCTATCTGTTCAAACAGTAGCTTCGACTTTTAACACTCATACAATAAGAGAAATAATATATAACAGTTCACAAATATATATATATATATATATATATATATATATATATATATATATATATATATATATATATATAACACAATACAAAAACATGAAAGTACTTTATGCTATGAATTATAAACTAAAATCTAACAAATGAACCCATTATATGAAATTGTTATATAAAATCATTAAGTTTTTGTGTGTTTTAAATGTTTATATAATTATAAAATAAAATAAAAATTCAAATTACAATAACATTAAAATTAATAAGTGTTTAAATATAATATAAAATTGAATTTAAATTTCAATTAAAAAATCAGATTGACTTACATATTGGATACCCATCTGTTCAAACGGTAACTTCGACTTTTAAAACTCATACAATAAGAGAAATATATAACAACTCACAAATATATATATATATAACAGAATACAGAAACATGAAAGTAATTTATGCTATGAATTATAAACTAAAATCTAACAAATGAACCCATTATATGAAACTGTTATATAAAATCACTAAGGTTTTGTGTGTGTTTAAATGTTTATGTAATTATAAAAAACACCCACGCGGGCGCGCGGGTCAAGATCTAGTCTAAAATATTAAAACTGAAGTACACTTAATACTTAGCCCTTACCTTTGCACAAAAATTACCACAGAATGCCACTACCATTAAACACATCTTTTACCCTTTTTTTATAAACCAAAATTAATGTTTTCGTTATAACTAACCGTAAAAAGACAAACCAATTAGAAACCACATGATTTCAATTTCTTACGTGTCATTAACCACCGACATAAATTGGTATGTTACCTTAAGACATCTTCGTCTACTGGATCAAATGAGCCCATAGAGACTTCACGACCATAGCTTTTCATAATTTATATAACATCAAATTCCATTGTCATAATTATTTGGTTTCTCTTCCTCTGCACAATCCAAACCACTATATTACATATGAGCAAGTCCATTTTATTGCTGGTTCAATGAAACTTAAAAATATCATTATTTAGATTATAAGTTTTATCGTTACTAAACGAAATTTTGTTATTCAAAATCAATTTAATTAAACCAATATAACAAAATCACCATAACAGTTAAGATATCCAAAATATAATTTTTTGTTTCTTATCTTGAAAATCAAGTTTACTAATCTAATCATTAAATTACCTGAATTCGTGTGATTTTCTTAACTTTGTAATAAACAAATAAATTTATTAAAAAAAACCATTCATGTTAAGTTAATAATAGTATATTTTTATAGAATAAAAATAAGAAATATCAGTAATCTATAATACTATTAAATAGCTAATATATTAGCATACATATTTTTCAACAAAACAAAAGTATTTTTTTTTNCATTAAATTACCTGAATTCGTGTGATTTTCTTAACTTTGTAATAAACAAATAAATTTATTAAAAAAAACCATTCATGTTAAGTTAATAATAGTATATTTTTATAGAATAAAAATAAGAAATATCAGTAATCTATAATACTATTAAATAGCTAATATATTAGCATACATATTTTTCAACAAAACAAAAGTATTTTTTTTTTAATTTTTGATAAAAAGCAAAAGTAATTTTGACTTAAAACAAAATATTAAATTATTAAAATCAACATTTTTAGTATGGGGATCATATCAATTAAATAAATTATGTATATTATTAATTATATTACATAATTTACATATAATTATATCGCTATATTTTAGTTAATCGGTTTATTCGGTTTGATCAATTTATATACCAAACCATATCCATATACCGCGGTTTCTTAAAAATGACATCTATTTGGTATATTCGGTACTACCAAATCCAAACTGTTTTCTCTATTCTGGTTCGGTTCGTTTTTAATTGTTCCGGTTTTATCGGATTAAACACCCATAAACATGACACACCAATGTTAATCTTAAGTAACATATGAATCTATAACATAAAAAAATATAATTAATTAAATTTATCGCATTTTCAAAAGTAAAAAAAAAAAATAATTATGAAGAATACACACCCGCGCGGGTGCGCGGGTCAAAAGCTAGTTTATTGTTATGAACAAGAATTCTAAACAAGCAAAGAATCATATGATATATAAGAGTTCTTGCACAAAATGATTATTTGTTTTAAATAAGAATAGTGACTATCATGAGAGAATAAAACATGTGAGGATGTTCATTAATTGGGAGATATTAATCTTGGAGGGATGTTCATCAAGCTCAAGTCTAGTTTTTGTGAAGTAGTTCCATAATTGTTGTGGACATGAAATTATAGACAAAAAAATATAGTTGACACAAAAATCTATACTATCTAAAAAAGGTCCCTACTTAAATTGTGCACCCATATCATCTCTGACTTAACAACGAAGTCACATATGTTAGTTCAAGAATAAGATATTAGATGGTACCATTAGTTAATCTACAAACAGAGAGATCACCCAAATAAGCTTGTTAATAATTTTAAAATTTTTAAAACATTTTGTTCTTGACACTTTCCAAATATCAAGAAAGGATATATAAATAGTTTAATAGTCCAAAGCAAAAAGAGTCGCATGAAAGAACCAAATATATGTAAACACAAACTAGTTGAATCTACGTTTTCTCCAGCGAATCCGACTTATGTCTTGCTTCAAAAAGCCTGGAAGCCTAACAAAGCTAGGAACGTAGCTGCATAAAAAAGGGAAACCAATTTCCCATTCATTAGCTTTAATTACTTGGAACTCCTTGTCGTTGATGACTCTGATAATAGATAGTCCCTTCATGCCAGTGTCATTAAAAGTTATGACGAGTCTATCGTTTTTGTCGAAATAATAATTCATCGAAAGGAGACTGGGAAGTGGATATAACAGCGGAAACTCTGGTATGTCCACGACCAGCAATTTGGTCCAAGAAGTAAGCATGAGCCAATGCTTCACCCATATGCATATCTTCCTTGTTTTGTGACATTGCTCCAACACTGAAAGCCTATCTCCTTTATAAACCTCTATTGCCGTAGGATTCAACTCATCATAGCTGAATGGCAGTTCATCTATTGGCTGAAACCTTTCTTTGGAAAAATCATAGCTTTGCACGAAAGCTGTATGATCTTCCTGAAGGCCTATACAATAAGGAGTTCCTCTCAAAGAGAGGATCGACAATGGCACACTAAGGAACCAATCAAAACTGATGTTCTCTATAACCTTCCATGTCTTGGATGCAACTTCACAGACCTCGACCCTTGGAGGTTTGTTTCTGGAATTACTAGCACAACGAAACCTTAAGATCCTGTAATCACAATGGCTAAGGTATCCAAGGCTGTAAGCATCATCAGGTTCGTGAAAGTCACTACCGCATTTGATCCAACTCGTTTCCTTCAGTAACGGGTTCCAAACTAGAAGCTGGGTGTCCATAACACACAACAACAAACCGTCGCAGTGAACAATCTTGTACACATTAATTGGATCATATGGTCGAACTTTTATAAGGGTAAAGTCTTGGACGGTCAAAGACAGAGGATCGACCACGTTTTTCTGCTCCTCGATGCCCACGGCAGAAATATTAGGACCATCGTCTGTGAGGATAAAGCGATGCTCACCGCTATAGCTGTGCATGTGAAACGACAAGTTCTTCTTGTTGAGTCTCTCTTCCAAAATAAGACTATTCCAAAGCTTACATACACATCTCAACTTTGCAAGAGATTTCCATGGGACTCTGGACAGAATTTCCTCTTCCATATCATATGGTAGCTTTACCGAAGTCATCGTGAGAGAGTTAATATGCATTCATGATTTATAACCGTAACCTACATATAGATGACGATAAGAAAAGAAAATTGGAAACACAAAAGTATAGGAAACATAATGTAAATATGGAAAAGTAGCTAAAGAAATTACTGACAATATGGCCGACAAAAAAAAAAAGAAAAAAGAAAAAGAAAAGACAATGATGACTTATGTTTGATATTGATCAATGCAGTTCTACTCCGGCTTCGTTTTTAGGAGACATTAGCGAAGTGACTGCACACGTTGGTGCTAGATTCCCTAGAGTTAATTTGTATGCAGCTGGATGGTTTCTTGGAGGTAACATTCTTGTTAACTATCTCGGTTAGGTTTAGCTCTTTTTTTATTTTATTTTGTAACCTCCCAATCCCAATGATTCATGCAAAATTTGGTTATAGTTCTTTTTTTATAAGAATTTGGTTATAGTTCGATATTGTTATTCTGTTGCAGGAGTCTCATAACTGTACTCTCTCTCCTATAGAATGTGGAATGTGATTCTATTAGATGTGATAAGAGTACAATATATAAGAGATTACACATGTGATTCTATTAGATGTGATAAGAGTACAATATATAAGAGATTACACGGTAGAACTAGGTCAATGATATTGACAATACAATCCTTTCCTTATCTACATCTATATCTTTAATATGCCCCCTCAAGATGGAGGTAAAAAAAAAAAAAAAGATGGAGGTAATCTTGTGACTCCAATCTTGGTTGTTGCAGTGAGGAATTGTTGGCGAGAGAGAGGCTTGATGAGAGCATCAGCCAACTGATCTTTCGTAGAGACGTGAGAGACACGTACTTGTCCGAGCTGAATCATGTTCCGGATGAAATGATAATCGATAGCTATGTGCTTCATTCTTGAGTGAAAAACCGGGTTAGCACACAAGTATGTTGCTCCCACATTATCACAATAAATTACCGGCGTATTTGGGATCGGTATGCCGAGCTCATAAAGGACTGAAGATATCCAGCGAACCTCTGGGGCGGTGTTAGCGAGTGCCCTATATTCCGCTTCTGTTGATGATCGAGCAACACCGTTCTGTTCCTTATCTACATCTATATCCTTAATATCTCCTGCTGTTTCGTTGTGCAATCCTTTTTTAGTTGGGTTATGCGGATGAAGATTTCCACAAGGGTTTTAACAAGGTTTATGATAAGACTTTGTCCAGATCTCTTCGTAGAATCTTTAGCAAGTAGTTGTTTCGTTTCCTTGTGCTATTTCTGTTACTTGCTGGTTAAGTCATTATCACATTTTTAGTTTATGTCTTTCTGCAGACATTCTCTTCTTTTGAAGATATTGGAGGTGGATTTAACATTCCCATGGCTGCAAATGCTGAGACTGTTAGGGATTTTGATGAAGGCTTTATTGGAGTTTGGTTAAGTCCGGTTCAGTCAACATTACTTGGAGAGTTCGTACCCGATTGTCGATAAATTAGTTTGGTATGTTCGTAATATTCTTCCTCTATCTAGTTACGCTATTTGTTGGTAGTTGTAGATAGTGAAGGGACACTCCTTGATCATCTCTGAAAGAGATATTGTATAAATGAAACTCATCGTTGTTCTATCAATGTAAACCGAGATTATACTTCAAGGAATATCTCTTTCTTGATGGAACACAGCTGCAGACTGCAGTTATTCAATAAACTTTGGTTCATGTAACAGTGTCATTTGGTTTCAAGACAGTAGATGAGTACTATTCCAAGTCTAGCAGCTCGAAAGTGATCAAACATGTCCGTACGCCTTTGCTTTGCATTCACGTGAATCCCTGTACATATGAGTGAGGAACCAATAAGCTAGAGAAACTAGGATATGGCTTCTTGATATGTTCATGTGTTGTGTGATATATGAAATGTAGGCAGCAAATGATCCGATTGCTCCTGAGAGGGATCGCTCGCGATGACATCAAGGTAAGAGACGATAGATCAAAGGCTCTTCATTCACAGAAAATGTGATGTTTTTTTTTTGGGGTTGTATCTATCTAACAACATAAAGTTTCAGGAAAACCCTAACTGCAGGTTGATAGTAACACCAAGAGGAGGGCATTTGGGGTGGGTGGCGGGTGAAGGAGCTCCAAATGGAGCTCCTTGGACAGACCCGGTGGTTATGGAGTTTCTGCAACATGTAGAGAGTTATGAAACCATTAATAGGGAGAGTTTGTTGGAGGATGTTCACCAAATTCAAGTCTAGTTCTGTTGATTAGTATGTTTCACTTATATATACATTTATTGTTATGAACAAGAATTCTAAACAAGCAAAGAATCATATGATATATAAGAGTTCTTGCACAAAATGATTATCTACTCTATTAAAATAGAGTCATTCTTTTTATCTAGTGATACAAGTTGTCATTTAAATTTGGACATTTCTAGAATGTTACAAATAATATAATTGTCATATAATTGATTGAACTGTATTACTTAAATTAAACCAACACAATTAATGTAAAGAGACGACCTTAATGTAAACTACCTTCAAAATATGGTAGGTATCTATGTTTATACCGAAAACACATATTTTTCTCCTACAAATATGGAATGTTCTAAAAGAATATATATCATCAAAATATGGAATATGGAAATCTAATAATTATACTTAAATTAAACCAATGATTATTTATGGAATATATTATAGGGCTTACTTTTATTTTTTGAACAAATTATATAGTTTGATTTTTGGGCTCAGTATTAAGAAAAAAATTCCAAAAACATTGAATAAACTTTTCACCTTAAAAGATCAAAAATCAATTATTATTTTTAGACCCAAAAGGTATTTAATATTTTTAACAAAACAAAATTATCTATTATTAATCATTTATTTAAATCGTGTACTTTAAAAAATGTTAATATATTTTTTTTATTTTAAATAACAATCACTTTGTTTTGATAAATTTCAATTGTAACTTTTAAATAATTTACTGTTTTATTTTTAGTAATTAAAAAATGTAAAACAAAACCAAAAACCAAAAACCAAATCTAAAAACTAAAATCCAAAACAAAAAGCTGAAAACACATGTTATATTTTTTTGCTTTGTTTATTTACAAAATAAACTATTTCATTTTTTTTTAAATTTGTTATCATCTTTTCAGTTTTAAATTAGATGTTCGATTATTTGATATTTGTTTGTTGGTAATATTAGTTCAAACTAACTCAGCGGGTTTAAAAATTAAAAACCCAAACCAAAAACCGAAAATGAAAGTAGAAACTTACAAACTAAAAACCAAAAACCAAAAACCAAAATCTAAAATAAAAACTGAAACTTAAAGCTAATGAAAAACAATCTTCACCACAAATTTTGGTGAACTTATTTTATATCAACGTATTCTTTAAATTAAGACAAAACCCAATTATATAAATTTTTAATCATAAAAAATTTTCGCGCCTTCAAGCGCGGGTCAAAATCTAGTCTACTCTATTAAAATAGAGTCATTCTTTTTATCTACTGATACAAGTTGTCATTTAAATTTGGACACTTTCTAGAATGTTACAAATAATATAAGTCATATAATTGATTGAACCGTATTACTTAAATTAAACCAACACAATTAATGTAAAGAGACGACCTTATTGTAAACTACCTTCAAAATACGGCAGGTATCTATGTGTATACCAAAACACACATATTTTCTCTTACAAATATGGAATGTTCTAAAAGAATATATATCATCAAAATATGGAATATGGAAATCTACTAATTATACTTAAATTAAATCAGTGGTTATTTATGTAATATAGTCTTGGGCCTACTTTTATTTTTTAACAAATTATATAGTTTGGTTTTTTGGCTTAGTATTAAGAAAAAACTCCAAAAACATTGAATAAACTTTTCACCTTAAAAGATCAAAAAATCAATTCTTATTTTCAGACCCAAAAGGTATTTAATATTTTTAACAAAACAAAATTATCTATTATTAATCATTTATTTAAATCATGTACTTTAAAACATGTTAATATTTTTTTTATTTTAAATAACAATCACTTTGTTTTGGTAAATTTCAATAGTAACTTTTAAATAATTTATTGTTTTATTTTTCTTAAATAATTTACTGATTAAAAAGATGTAAAGCAAAACCAAAAACCAAATCTAAAGCTAAAATCCAAAACCAAAAGCTAAAAACACATGTTATATTTTTTTGCTTTGTTTATTTACAAAATAAACTATTTCAAATTTTTTTAAAAAATTTTGTTATCATCTTTTCAGTTTTAAATTAGATGTTCGATTATTTGAGATTTTTTTGTTGGTAATATTAGTTCAAACTAACTCAGTGGGTTTAAAAATTAAAAACCCAAACCAAAAACTGAAAATGAAAAGTAGAAACTTAAAAACGAAAAACCAAAAACAAAAATCTAAAAATAAAAAACTTAAACTAAAAACTAATGAAAAACAATCATCACCACAAATTTTGGTGAACTGATTTTATATCAAAATATTATTTAAATTAAGACAAAACCCAATTATATAAATTTTTAATCATAAAAAATTTCTGCGCTTTCAAGCGCGGGTCAAAATCTAGTCTAATCTATTAAAATAGAGAAATTCTTTTTATCTAATGATACAAGTTGTCATTTAAATTTGGACACTTTCTAGAGTGTTACAAATAATATAAATATTAGAGAATTTGCACCCAATAACCAAACAAAAACCCAAAATTAATTAACTAACCAATTTCACCCTCTCTCACCTCTTTTCTCTTCCTATCTCTCTCTACTCTCTCTCTACAAAACTAATTTCTTTTTTTCTATGGTTATTTCACAAATAACCCCTAAATATTATAATTGATTGAACCGCATTACTTAAATTAAACCAACACAATTAATGTAACGTGGTGACCTTAATGTAAAGTATCTTCAAAATATGGCAGATGTCTATGTGTATACCAAAAACACATATTTTCTCCTACAAATATGGAATGTTCTAAGAGAATATATATTATCAAAATATGGAATATGGAAATCTACTAATTATATTAAATTAAAA